CCCATGTGCGATAAGATGGCCACGTCTACCGACTCGGACCAAACCAACAAATTTTAATTCAGTAAAAAAACGTCCTAATTAGGGAAATTACCCTAAGAATGTTTTTACTTAGGAAGATTTTCAGTCCCAGACCAGGTCAGACCAAACTTCCATAGCTATAAAATACACAGAGACCAGTCATTTACTAGACCAGACCAGAGCAGACTAAAACAGACAAGACCAGACCAGTCTAGACCAGCAAATTTCAGCTCAAGTAAAAGCATCCTAAATAGGACTAAAAACCTTTGTATATTTAAAAATAAGACTATCATGTTTTTATTCTCAAAATAAGACTAATTACTGTATTTTTTTGACAGTACCAGCCATTAAACATGAAAATATTTTTCAAACTTTGTAGTAATTACTCTTATTTTGGAAATAAAAATATGTCAGTCCTATATTTGGAATTTTCAATTGTTTGTACTCCTAATTCGAGAATTTTCCCAATTAATTAATAGATAGATTTTTCACCAAGTAGTAAATTTTAGTTACATTTTTTAAAGTAAACTGACATATACTAATTCAACTTGTCATTCTCCAATCGGAGTACAATACTATCAATGGAAAGGACAGCCCGTGCCAACCAGTAAGTTAACTTGTTCGCGGATCGCTTACAATGAATGATCTCTAAACTAGCTTCATTGCGAAGAATTTGTTAATGTCATCAACAATTGTGTCAAAATAAGAGTTTACTTCTCAATCTATGATGCTTGAGACCACTAGTAATGTTAGGAATATTTTATGGTGTCCAATCTAATTAAATATCTTTGTATTTGTGTAGTTATTAATTAAACGTGTAATACGAGCCACAAATGTGTATCAGCCCGGGGGCTTCCTTGTAACCTGTAAGTTATCTAACTTCTCCTATAAAAGGAGGCTAACTTACGGGAAGCCAATCAATCAATAGAGGCTCAGAGTACGCAGAGGCGAGATAGAGAGAGAGTAGGGTTTCCGCTGCTCTCCTTCTCCAGGGAGAGCAGCGGGATTCACACGGTATACAAGATTTGGTTTTAATCTTGTCGATATCTTTCTATCTGCTTCTTCTTTAACTGCTTAGATTGTTTGATTGCTAATTATCTGGGTTTATCAATCGGTATCAGAGCTGAGGCGTGAAACAGGTTGAATCTATCTGCGATTTTTGGATCTAACGAAGAACTGCTCTGCTTTTCTTCTGTTTTTCTTTGGTGTAGAGATTTGCTCCTGTAATCTTGTTTGTGAACGAAACTTTGTAAAAATCATACTGTTGGACTCGCCTTTCAAAACCGATCCAGCAGCATACCTTATTTTTCGTTTTCTGCAATTTTTATATTTCGAAGATCTCTACTTTGAGATCTCGAAATCCTTATTTTTCACTGCTGCAGAAACGTTTTTGACTTGAAACTCATACAGGAGAATCTCGACCTTCAGGGCTTTTCAGAACAGGTTTCAGATTTTAAAAAATCGAAGTTTTCATTTTGCAGGATCTCGACATTTAGAGACTCGATTTCCTCATCTCGACTTTTGTCATCTCGAGTTTTGTCATCTCGAGTTTTGTCATCTCGAGTTTTGACATCTCGAGTTTTGACATCTCGAGTTTTTTCATCTCGAGTTTTGACATCTCGAGTTTTGACATCTCGAGTTTGACATCTCGAGTTTTGGAATTTCGAGTTTTGGAATTTCGAGTTTTTGGGATTTCGACATTTGGGATCTCGATGTTTTGGGTCTCGACATCCTGAAGATTTCGAGATTTTCAAAATTTCTCGATGTTTTGAATTTTTCAAAGTTTGGAGTTTCTTGAATCACTGATTTCTTCTAAACTTGATATCTTTCCTGTTCAGAACACTTCGAAGCTTTACATTTTTAGATATCTCAATGAATCTCTGCCTATCAAAGTTTTTATAAGTTTTCGATGTTCTGATGTTTTTCAAACAGCAAGTTTTCGATTTTCTAATGTTTTCAAAACTCCAAAGTTTTCGATGTTCCAAACATTTTGAAATTCTGCAGATTTCGATATTCTGAGGTTTGTTTTGCAGGTGGATTTCGCCATTATTCTTCAAGGCAACTTCGAGATTGTAATCTCGAGATTTAAACCTCGAGATTGTAATCTCGAGATTTAAAACTCGAGATTGTAATCTCGAGATTTAAACCTCGAGATTGTAATCTCGAGATTTTAACCTCGAGATTGTAATCTCGAGATTTAAAACTCAAGATTGTAATCTCGAAATTTAAACCTCGAGATTAGGATTTCGAGGTATTGCCTTAGAATTTTGTTTAAATTCCACCTGCTCTCGATATTCAACATCGAGAACCTCAACTTCGAAGAAATTCCTCAAAAACTCAAAATTAGGGATTTTCTGCGACACCGCACTGTTTTGGCCATATCTTTTGACTCGGTGATCCGATTTGAGCAAACGTTTTTTGTTGGAAAGCTAACGAAAAGATCTACAACGATTATGCCATAGAACCCTTTCTCACGCGCCCTCACTCGCAGGCTTTGAGGGTCAAAACGTTAGTTTTCTGACAAATATTGTAAATCATCGATGTCCAGGTCAAAACTTAGGCAAATCTGTTCAAATTCTTTCAAAGTCAACCCTGAGTTCAAACATTTTCTAAACCTAACTGTAAAGGTCCGAAAGTCGTAGATAATTCAATCAACGTCACGTCAACGGTCATCTTACAACAATCAACAATCAACCACTGAAGCCTCCTCTGACTCATCAACATTATGTGATCCTCAATATGCTGAAATTCTACATGGTGAGCTCAGGGAAATCGTCATGTGTGGTACCTGTTCAGATTGCTCCACACACATGGCGGGGATAACAAGCTGTGAGCAATCAAACCTTGCACATTCTGAGGGGGAGTTTCAGTTTTCTCCTCCTGGCGCCTTACACCGACAAAGCAAGGAATCTCTCAAAGGATGCAACATTTTAGGGGGAGTGTTCAATGTTATCCTTCCCGGTGTCGAAAAATGACAAAGCATACCGAGTGCTCCAGTTGAGGGGGGTACAGAGAGAAAATGAAGAAAGTAATGAGAGAACATGTCCCTATGGCTTAGTAAACCCAACTAAGCCTACCCAGGGGACAAAGCCGAGCGTAAGTGAGTGAGTGAGTGAGTGAGTGAGTGAACATTATGAGCGTTAGGAAGCAGAAGGCTCAAGTGAGAAGAAAAACAATACTCAATGATGAGTCTGCTACCTCAACTGCCTATTATCCATTGAACATTTACTCCTAGCCACTCAAATACTCTGGACAATTACCAAATAGGTTCAGGACTGATTTAATCAGATCCCGGGTAGAAGTCACTGCATCTTGTCCAACAGTGCATGTTGAACCCTATCCAAGACCACTCACTTGTCTCCCAACAGACATGTGTTTAATCATATTTCACGGGGAACCGCATCTCTCATTACTACCTCCTTACGAGACAAGCAATACTGACTACAGTGGCCTCAGCCCCATGCCACTGAACTTTCATCGATCACATCGTGTCTAGTTACCTCACTCCCAAATGTTTTGAAATTTCTAGGACACAGATGCACTTTTTGAGTCAGTTGCAGGTCTTCAAAGACCCGCGAGAACTTCCATAGGTCTCATCTATTGCAGATGTAGACTAAGGATGTTTTTACTTGGACTGTAATTCCTCCCAGACCAGACCAGACCAGACCAGATCAGACCAGACCAGACTTGGATAGTTATAAAAATACAAAGAAACCAGACCAGACCAGATCAGACCAGACCAGACCAGACCAGACCAGCAAATTACAGTCCAAGTAAAAACATCCTAATGATTGGAAGGAAGTCCTGCTGTTGCAACATAAGAATCACCAACATTTTCAGGCCATTGCTTTAGAGTTTATCTCTATAGTGATGAAAACGGGTGTCTACACGACCCCGGGGGGCTTTTATCATTTACTCTTTCTGTTTGTTTCCTGTTTTATTTCCGCAGAATAAAAGAATAAAAGCATGACGTCCGGATTCATCGGATCGTCATGAGGGGGAGAGTGGTCCACATGCTGTTAACACTGAACAAATCATTCTGGGACACTTCACTCCTCCATCACAAAAATCATCACCTTCTCTGCTATCTCTACAACTCAATTCAAATGGTCAGCTACACTCACAAATCAACAATCACTATGTTTCGCTGTGCCACCGACAAGTTCTCCTCAAATGCATTCATTCCAAATAGTCAAAAAGACTACATTGTGGAGGAGACAGAGGTCAAATACTCGTGTCCTGAAGATGAATTTCATGGGCGTCTCCTATTCTCCAAAGAATATTCATTCTAGAGGCGTCACCGGACTTCATCCAAGCTGATCAAGAGCAACTTCTGGAAGGCAAGGACTACATGCAAGATACTGAAGGTCCCTCAAGCCCCGACATCAAAGATCAAATTGTCAAGAAGACATCAAAGGGGAGATTGTTTGATTCACACGGTATACAAGATTTGGTTTTAATCTTGTCGATATCTTTCTATCTGCTTCTTCTTTAACTGCTTAGATTGTTTGATTGCTAAATATCTGCTAGGATTTCTTCAGATAGCCTTCCTCAGAAGTCAAGTTCAAAGACAAAGGAAGCTGAATAACAACAAAGACAAAGATATCTGCGCTGCAATGCTGATTCAACACGATTGAACACCAAGGGGGAGATTGTTAGGAATATTTTATGGTGTCCAATCTAATTAAATATCTTTGTATTTGTGTAGTTATTAATTAAACGTGTAATACGGGCCACAAATGTGTATCAGCCTGGGGGCTTCCTTGTAATCCGTAAGTTAACTAACTTCTCCTATAAAAGGAGGCTAACTTACGGGAACCCTAACAATCGAATAGAGGCTCAGAGTACGCAGAGGCGAGATAGAGAGAGAGAGTAGGGTTTCCGCTGCTCTCCTTCTCCAGGGAGAGCAGCGAGATTCACACGGTATACAAGATTTGGTTTTAATCTTGTCGATATCTTTCTATCTGCTTCTTCTTTAACTGCTTAGATTGTTTGATTGCTAAATATCTGGGTTTATCAAGTAATGAATCCGTCTTTAGTTTCTCAGACCCCTCTGGCCTTCGAAACCGCTGCATTCCACTTCCCTTGAACTATTCAACTGCCACCAGCTACAAAGGCGCCATTTGAATCCCTGGCCACCCAATCTCGTGAATGTCTACCCCACCTCTCATCTAAAGCCGCATCAACATTCACCTTGATACAAACAACTACCGGCCTCCTCCATCTTTGCGCCATCTAAATGGACTTTTTCACGTTCCTCCGTCGCTGCGCCTCCTGCCAACTTTTAAGCATTACGAATCCTCCTTCCACATTTTGTTGCCAGCCCGCTGCTCTGTTCTTCCATGCTCTCTCATTGCGTGTTTTCCAGAGACTCCATAAAGAGACAACAATGTTGTCGAGAGCTTCCTACTTCAAGTTTTCAAAGAAACTCTTAATCCACATGCTGAAAGTTTCCCGTCCCTAATAAAATCTATTTACCAGCTGTTGTCAACCCGCTCGCGCCACCTCACAATCCTTAAAGAGATGCAATTCTGCTTCTGGGTCCTCCTCACACACTTTGCATTGGCCACCATTGTCCACTCTCCTTTTTTGTAGATTGACCGATGTCGGTAGGATTCCTGTCATCATTTGTAAAAAGAAACATTTAATTTTAGCAGGGATATTCAAGCCCCACATTTTAGTCCATCCCACCTAATCGTTGACGTTATATTTCCCCTCTCGACGCCCTATATTCACTCTTAGTAGTATAAATACCCCATGGGTCTGCATTCCAGCATATTCCATCATCTATTCTTCGTTTGCTCAAAGGGATAACTAATATGTTTTTCCGTTCTTCCTCAGAGAATAGCGTAGTTATTTTTGCGACGTTCCAGCTGTCTCCATTCTTAGTCAGTAGAGCTGCCACATTCATATCGTAAATTCCAGTTGGCGAAGGTGTATGGGTCATGCCATCACTCATCCCGAGTACCCACCTCTCCTTCCGCATAGAAATTGTTTGGCCATATCCAACTTTTTTATGAGAGTTTCTGCCCATCATCTCCTGAGCTTGAGTCACACTGCTCCATACAAAAGATGGGTTGCTCCTTGGTTTGGCCTGCAAAAATAAGTTATTAGGAAAATATTTAGTTTTGAAAATTCTTCCCATTTGCGACTCAAGTTCTTTAATCAGTCACCAAGTGTACTTCCTCAACATTGCTTTATTGAATTCCCTGAGAGAACGGTAACCCCATGATACATATATATGGTTGTAACTCATCCACCCGATGATACATACTGTATATATTCGTGTAAAATACTTAACCCGTAGGTCGTATACCTTAAAGAGTCTTTTAAAGATAAAGTTCTTACCTGACTTTTCTCACTCCTTTCCCGGATGCTTAGCTCACAAGCTATAGTCTACCTTCGATTCATACTACCGAGTGTTTTAGGATCATTTACCGTCCAAGGCACTCAACCCAACCTGGAGTATTTAGGATCATTTACCATCCAAGGGTACTCGGCCCCACCTGGAGTATTCTGGATCATTTACCGTCCAAGGGTACTCAGCCCCACCTGGAGTATTCTGGATCATTTACCATCAAAGGGTACTCGGCCCCACCTGGAGTATTCAGGATCATTTACCGTCCAAGGGTACTCGATCCCCAGTCTATGCTCTACCAAATGCTAACCTGGATGTGGTCAACGTTTGATTCCTTTAACTATGGACAATGCCTAGCTCTATAGTCATATAACAATCCTTAGGAACCAACGTGGGCGGGTCCCACCTGAACGGCCCACGTTAACCTACTCAAAACTGCCCATTTTGAGCATAACCCAATACTCGATCGAGTACTCACCTATACTCGGTCTAGTACAGGAGACAGTAGCCCGTAAGGCCAATTTTTTGGTGTATACTCGATCGAGTACCTACCCATACTCGATCGGGTATAGAAGAAAGTAGCCCCTGGGGCAAATTTTTCAGCAAATACCCGGTCGGGTATTTGCCAATACCCGATCGGGTATAAGAGTTGACTTGGCGGTCAACGCCCATTTGACCGCCCAAAAGGAGTCCGATTAACGTGAAATTTTACATGCAAGTACTCTTTGACGTCCTTAATCCAAAAATACCTGTTTGGGTCCTTGGAACATCATACATATCAATTTATAGAAATTTCACCAATCAAACCTATAAATCATGCTTTCCAACTATGTTATATTCTTTAACATAACATAACACATACATTAATACCATTAATCAATCCATAAAACATATTCTTGATTAATTTAGGTAATCTCATGCCTCACGTAAAAGTTATAAAGCATAAAGCCGTCTTCTCACCTTAAATGAAGCTTATGAAGTTCTAGCCTTCCTTATTGAGCTCCGGCGAAACTCCGGCGAACTTCAACGAACTCCGGCGACAATTACGGCGACCTTTTCAACTCTGTGAAAGTTCCTTGAAAACCATAGACACGTTACTAACAAGGTTTTATCATCATAAAACCCATATTAATGCAAATAACCTCCAAAAGGTTATTTTCCGGCGAACCGGTCACTTTGGCTTCTATGTCCGTTCTTGGACCTAGAACTACCTTCCAACCCCTCATTCTACACTTCCAAAAGTGTAGCACAATCCTAGGGTGTGAAATATGATTGTATAATCATATTAAAAGATTAAAGAAAACGAAATGGGATTAACGGGGTCATTACCTTGTTAATCTCAAGTTTTCTTCCCTAACCTACTCCTTTCTCTTCTTTCTTCCCTTCCTTCTTCCTCTCCTTGCTTTGTGCGGATATGGCTGGAAAAGATGGAGTATTATAGATCTTCTCTCACCTTAATTGAGGGATGTGCCGAGCTGGGGGTGTATGGTTGATTGAGAATGCCTTTTTGGCATTTCTCACAAAGATAACATGGGGGAGGGTCCATTTCATTTATTGGTTTGGCCTTCAGCCACTTCTTGCTCATTTCCCACAAGGTTGTGCGGCTCCCTTGCCCTACTTGCAGAGCTAAAAACGTGGGTTGGCCCCCACTTATGTGGGAGGTCAACCCTTTGTGTCCCGGAGTGTACAATCGGTCCCGAAAGTTGTATTTTCCGGACTGTTTTAACTATATTTCATTTTATCGGGTCAAATAAAATATAACACATGTTATAAATCCTCATTGGACCCTATAATGAATATACGTTCCCCAGCTTTAATTTAAAGGTCTCCGAAATTCAATTCGGGCTGATATCTGATAAATTATCGATACTGATAATCGAACCTCGTTTGACCAACCGGTCAACCCTATGCCATTGTCATGGCCCAATTAGGATATCCACCACCATATATATTATCTAGACCAAGATTAATATAATATGTGGTCCCGATAATATCAGGCGGCCCCCACTTCCAGTGTGGGCCCCACATGAATTTTACTATTCACGTAAAAGAAATGCTGAAAATTTACAATCATACAAAATGCGTTTATTCATTTCTCAGAGTTCGATACATAATTTGATAAAGTACAAATGCTTGGGGGCAGTGTTACAAGAACACTACACCTATACTTCTCATTACCTTCTGCTTCTCAGGATCGTAAAGCCTGAATCCGTACTCTTCATCACCATAATCAACAAACACACATGAAGTAGTCTTGGAATCAAGCTTTATTCTTTGATCTTTCAGTAAATGCATGTAAGCCTTGCATCCAAAGACTCTAAATGTGAATATGTGAGATCACATCTCTTCCATGCTCTTTTGAGAATGTGAAGTCCCAAAAGAATAGCTGGAGAATGGTTAACCATGTAAAAAAGTTCCAAAATGACTTAAGTAGATCAGACATCTTCAGCATACACCTCACTTTCCCCACAGTGTCACTATTAATCCTTTCTACAACACCATTACGTGGTGGAGTTCCAAGAACTATCTTAATATGTTGAATGCCATGTTGTGAACAATAACTCTCAAACCCATGTGAATATGCTCACCACCATTGTAACAACGAAGGTAGTTCAATGTTCTTTCTGTCTTCCTTTCCACTATAGTATGAAATTTCTAGAATGACTCAAACATTTTCTCTTGGTCCTCAACATGTAAACCCAAGATTTTCTAGTAACATCATCAATGAAAGTGATAAAGTATTTATTGCCACCATTAGACTCCACCTCAATGGGACCACAAATATCGAACTGCACAAGTTCCAGCTTAGCTTGCCTCTTAGTATACTTTCCAGGAAAAGAAGCTCTATGTTGCTTACCTGCCAAACAAAGATCACAAGGGTCAATCTGTTTTAGCATCAACAAGAATAAGAGATTTACCATCTAGACTTTTCAAACTCTTCACTCATGTGTTTTAATATCTTGTGTCACAAAATAGGAGAATTCTTCTCTTCTATTGCATTAAGTGCACCAAAACATACACTCAAATATGTCTTGTAAAAAGAGTAACACAACTCATCGCGTACTTGTGTGTAACAGATCAACAGTCAAATAAACTCTAAATAATAATATGGAGAAATTGAGTAGAAGAATAATAATTCATCAACAATCAATACTGTATATTCATTATGATATAGCAATAATGCATGATACACATGAATTATTGTGATAAAGCTAGAGGTGTTCTATGAGAATAATAGGTGCGAAATAAATTGTGTAGAGTCTCTCTCTCTCATCTAACATGAGAGATTCGATAATGATGTGGTTATTCTAATTGTGAAGCTCTCTTAGGCTGTTCGGTCTATACATCCTATATTTATAGGAGTATGACCGAACATCCTATTTACATTAGGATGAGCCAAGTAACTCTAATTAAATGGCGCCTAATTAATTACAAAGCCCACTAATTAAATCTAATAGACAAAGATAAATATAATTAAATTAAACACAATAAAATATGCTCTAACAGTACCATTGTCATAGTGTAAGTATGCTTCCAACACTAGTCTTCACATGAATATTACTCTAATCCAACCATGCTTGTTGAGCTTTGGTTACCCATCTTAACATTACCAAAATTACCAGCTTGGTAGTTCGTGAAGTACTCTCTTCTGGGAATACAATGGTATGAAACACATATATCTACAAGTCATCCCGAGTCTGAACTATAAACATGATGACAGTCACTAGTTGCACAAATCAAAGTAACATCACCACTCTTTGAAGCTGTTGTTGTAGTGTTTTTGTCGTCTCCCACTTTCTGTGAATCATTGTTCTTCCTCGGTTCCCTTTCAAACGGAAACAATACTTCTTGATATTACCAAGCTTCTTGGAATAAAGGCATCAAGTCATATTCCTCACATCACTCGACTTGGACCTGCTTCTTGAGTAATTGTGGCATTTGGGACGCCTATTCTTGTTTCTTCCTCTATTCTCAACAACAAGAGCATGTGAATTATCAACTCCCATCTCATGCAGGTTTTCTAATTTCTTCATTAAATCAGCTTTCTTTGATGACATTTAAATATAACACATCATCCGTAGTACATTACTAATAGTCACAACCAATGTTCTAAAAGGTCCTAAGCGCTAGTCGGACGCCAGCCCAGAGCATAGGCGGCTAGGCGGGCGCCTAGACGGGAACTCATCTGAGATATAAATTTTATACTTTTATCATTTTTTTTGCATAAAAAATATCTATTGTTGCCAAATTTATAATCTATAATTAGTAGGTATATTCATATGCATTGATAAAGTTCAAATAAAAAAATAAAAAAATATGTGGAAAACCTAGTCGCCCTAGGCAGCCGATGAAGCGCTCTGGGCGGGCAACTAGGCGCCCGAGGTGGCTGGCTAATTCACCTAGGCACCAAATCAACTAGTCGGAGTGCCTAGACTAAAATCATGGCGCCCGACCATCCCCTAGCGCCTAGACTGTAATACTTGAGATTTAATTCAAACAGATCAATAGTATTACTCATACCAACAAGGTGCACCTCCTTTTAAGGGAGCTCATCAGCTAAGAACTCCAAAGTTAAGCATGCTTGCACGGGAGTAGTCTTGGAATGGGTGACCCCCTGAGAAGTTTCTCAGGGCGCACATTGTTAAAGTGTAATTACCAAAGAACCCAATAAATGCTTCTAGCATACTCTATAAATAAAGACACTAGGCTGCAAAATAAGCCCACGGTCTATTCCCTCATCTTTGACTCCCATTTAACTAATTTCAGTTTTAGTTCGTTATCTGCTCCAACAAATCTGGTATCAGAGTTGCGTTCAAGTTTCTTGTGTGAAACTTAGCGGAGAAGAACTTTCAAGCGATGAACAACAACACTTTCCCTGTGAATCTCCCAATTTTAGATGGCAAGAATTGGCATCGGTGGTCGATCCAGATGAAAGTCATTTGATAACCCGCTTACGTGGCGTTGTATTAAAATGGAGTCTAATCTTTTGATTTTTCCCCGAGTATCGTGTCTCTGAGGAGTGGCGGAGGGAAGTGTTGGTTTCAATATCGGTCACCGGTTAGTACGAGTCGTTGCAAGCTTTCTCAAACGATTATTTGTGATAATGATTAAGCAAATAAAATTAAACAACAAAAGTACTAACGGAGAATTTAATTAAATGACATTAATGAGTAAACTAAAACTAGTGAACATGCAAAATAACTTGAGAGAGAAAATAAACTAATTAAAATATTAAACTAGCAAACATGTGGATGAGGAAATAAAATACTAAAACGTATATTTAATGCGACTAGTAACGATAAATTGACTAATTAAAAAGTGGGGTCTAGTTTTGGAATTAAGGATCTTGGGTGTCTTTGATTATGAACAAAACTGGGAAATTTTCACTAATCTAAAGATACTAAATATCAATTATCATAGACAAGAAATTAATATTAATTGCCCTAACATGTCCTATTTCTAGGCCTAGTTTAGGGTGTGTGAGATGTGAGCTAAAATTAATTCTAAACTCATAGACAAGAAAGAATTGATTTTCCAAAAATTCACAAGTGAAGTGATCAATTTCACAAATTACTCTTTCAATTTCATCTCAAACAACTAGTTCTAAAAATTAGAGAATTTTCCCAAATTCAACTCAATATTCAAGAACACCCATTAACCTAAATTCTATCCAAATCCAACCCCCATGGAGATTTAGCCTAACATAATTATCAAGAAACTAATAAAATTAATAAAAGAGCTAGAGCAATCCGTAGATGAAATCAAACAGTAATTAAACATCATTAACATACAACTATCCAATAATCCAAGTAAACAACAATTCGAAATATGATTTAGTCCAGGAATTGAAAATTAAAGCTTATTGAAGTTTGAAATGGAAAAATGAAACCGGAATTGTTGCTGATGTTATGTTCTTCTTGCTGCTAAGCTTTCTTGCGGCCTGCTGCTCGCCTATCCCATGTCTGCCTATTTTTTCTCGGGCCAAGAACTACTTGCCACTGAATTCTTTTCTTTCGTACGGCCTACAAGTAAGTAGTGCCGGCAGCCTAGATCTGCCTTTTATTTGAGTTTATCTGGCCGATTAGGATGATTTGAGTTGTCCCTTCCATTTCTTTGTTTTCTTCTTTGATTGCTCTCAGCCATGTGCTCTTGCTAGCTTCTCGTTGTGCGGCTGTGCACTGTCTTTTCTTTCATTTCCTTGGCTGGCCGACTCTCCATCAGTCAATCTGATCTCTTTCCCCCTTTTTTTTCTCTTTGTTGCTTTTGCTTTTCTTTATGGGATATGATGGTCCCTGATAGAGGTAAAAGTCTAGAGGGGGCGGGGGGTGAATAGACTTTTAAAGCTTTTTCAACTTTAAAACGTTTCTCCCTCTAAAGAGTTGATCTATAATCTTTTGGGAGATTTATAGATGCACATCGGAAGTCTTTAACCTCTTAGATAAATAGTGTATAACACTT